TCCTATCCTATCCTATCCTATCCTATCCTATCCTATCCTATCCTATCTTAACTTTTTTATTTTATCATTAACAATAGTAATGGATCCAAGTGAGGATAAACCAAATAAATAACTAATTAGTGAAATGTCTAAATATGTACTCTAATTGAACCTTTGATTGCATATATCCAACATGTATTAGGATCTGATGTTAGTAAGGGTTTGATAACCTCATTAAAGAAAATACTGTTTAATCAAAGAAATAAATTTTAAGAACTTTAAAGGAAATTAAAAGAATTGTAAAAACATATCACCCCAGGAATGGGTAAAATACCTCCTAAGCTCTGATTTAATTATTGTTTCATCATTCATAATAAATCCAGATTAAAATTTCTTTACTGGATAAGAGTTATTTCATGTAAACTAAAATGGAATCCTTATATATTCCCACTTTTATTTATATTCAAAGGATATTTTCCCACGAATTTTAAATCATTATGTTCAATGTGGAAAATACCTTGTATTTTTTTGCAGTTCTACTATCCTTGAACAATATTTTTTGAGCTCCACTATCTAACCACGACCTTTCCTCACAGATGTGGATTGGACAACTTTATAAAATGTATTATTTGTGTGTAATAAGAATACATATACAATATCTACAAAAAAATACAAAATGACTTACATGAACAATTACGTAAGATAAGTTATATTTTTAAGCCTTAAAATATTATTTCCATATATTAACTCATAGTGTTGATTCATCTGGAAATTGTTGCCTATGCTACTGACAGACAGTGGCTCCAATTAATATTCAAAATGAATAATTTCAGTCTTACCTTGAAATGTGACCAAAGCTAAAATCTTTCACATGTACAGAATAAACTATACTGCTATACTATCACCATATATTATGTATTCATATGTTACATAGCATGGTTTAAGTATGATTTGTTTAATCAACCATAATTTGCTTCTAAGTTTTAAGCTTTGGTTTTCAAATCACAGTTACTTGATTTCTGTATTGCTGCAAATTTTCAACAAGTAAACATAATCAAGAAATTTCATCTACTTGAAATAAATGTTCCCAATTGGTTTGTTGGTTTTGTGAAAGCATGCTTGTAAAGGGAAAAAGATGAGGTTTTTTTTCAATAAATAGTACCTCAGTGTGTCCTTTCATGCATGAATAAAATAACATAAATTAAAGGAAATAAAAGAAAAAGGTTTTCATTGGTGTAAAGTAAACTTCCCATTTCTAATCACCAAGGCGACGTGAAGACATTTTGCTGTAACAAATTGGGTCAAGTCAAGGTTTGTTGTCCTCCGTTTATCAGAGAACAAATGTGGTGTACTGGTTAAGACATGGGTGCCAAACTCACGGCATCACAATGGCATCATG